CGCCTGGGGCCCCCCCCCCCCCCCCCCCCCCCCCCCACACACACACACAGATTGAGGAGTTTGAGGCGGAGGCGGAGGCGGCGGCCACCGCCAAGAAGGGCAAGAAGCCGGCACCGCGGGTGGTGCACATGGAGGAGTCGATTGCGCGGCACCGCCAGCACATCATGCGCCTGGAGCAGCTGCTGCGCCTGTTGGACAACGACGCGGTGCAGGGTGGGCGCGGCTGCCGGCGCCGGCAGGCCCCCGCCCGCGCGGGCCCGCGCCCCGCCTGCTTGCATGTGTCCATTCGCGCGCGTGTGCTTGTGTGGTTGTGCCTGCCCGGCGGCGCGCACTGCGGGCTCCCAACGCACGCGGCCTAGCCCCCGGCTGGGCCCGGCTGGAGGCGCCGCCCCCGGCCGACGCCCGCGCCCCCTTCCCCCTCCCCCTCCCCCCTGCCTGCCTGCTCCTGGTTGTAGCCGAGGATGTGGAGGGTGTGAAGGACCTGGTGGATGACTACCTGGACCGCAACCAGGACGACTTTGACGAGTTTGCAGCGCCAGACGACCTGTGAGGGGGGGGTGGCGGGGGGGNCCGCGCGCGGGGAGGCGGCGCGGCGGGGCGGCCCGCGCGGCGCCTGCCTGCCCGGCTGGCGTGGCGGGCGTGGCGGGCGCCGTCCTGGCCTCGCCGCGCTGAGGATTGCCCTGGGGATGAGCGGGGCGCCCGCGCTGGGCCCTCGCCCCCCTGCCTGCCCGCTTGCCTGCCCGCTTACCTGCCCCCCTCCCCCCCACATGCGTGCCCCCTGCCAGGTACGAGGAGCTGATCGAGCAGCTGGACGGCATGAGCGACGCCGTGGTGGCTGCCCCGCCCTCCCACTCCAAGGTTGCTCGCGACAAGGAGGCCAAGCAGGAGAAGGAGCGGGAGGAGCGGGAGCGGGAGCGGCAGAAGGCGGCGGCGGCGGCCGTCAAGGCGCAGCTGGCGGCTCAGGGCAACACGCGGCTGGCGGTGGAGACGGCGAATGCTGAG